TACAGCGATTTTCAGCGAGCTCCAGAGCTCGGGTGTGGAAGCAACGTCGGGCAGACAGCGGGCAAATATTTCCGCCGTGATCTCCGTAGGTAGTGCGAGGATTGAGTAACTGGCATTCCGTAGAGGTGGATCATGCTCGTGCCGGGTGCCTGTTGGACCAAGCTCAGCGCTTGTGAGGTCTGGAGAAGCATCCCACCATCGCTAGGATTGGAGTTTAGTGGGTTACAGTGAAGAAGGACAAGTTCCTGGCGCCAAATGGTCAGCGCTGGATCTGGGCGGCCAAGTGACTTGGGTCGGAGTTTGATGGCGACCGAACCACTTTTCGCTCCTTACGCAGCCTTGTCGCCGGGCTGTTCATCATCTTCTGGCAGGCTATTCATAGCCATCCTGTGTATGGTAAGAGATTTTCAAGCAAGTTCCCTGCATGTGCGACAGAATGAGTACGGCAGTGTCGATTCTGGAAGGCAAGATGGTAAACAAATGCGTGAGATTTTCTGTGAGGATCTCTGCAGGGACTTTGGCGATGACCAAGAGAGCCGAGTACTCATCCGGAGGTGTACGGAAGATGCTTGCTTCCACGTAGAGGTAGGACCCAGGCCACCCACCGGCACGGTCTGAAGCAGATTTGGGCAAAAATTTGGGACCTGCCAATTTTACTTCCAAAAATTTCAAGTCTCCGAAATAAAAAGGTCGAATCGACTCAAAATCGACTCCACGGGTGTTCTGTCTAGGTTAGGGTTACAAATCCCAGGGTGTATAGGTCAAGTCGCCGTAATTGTAAAGCTTTGAAATCCTTACAAACATCATGACATGCGCAAGGTTCACAAACTGTCATGTTCAAACAACTATCCCGGCCCGAAAGGCCAATTTTGCTGTGTAATATTCTTCGAATTCCTCCGCCGACCAGGTCGGGCAAATAATTTATGCACGCAACCTCCTTTTTAGAAGTGCCGCGAAGTTGCGGAGATCTCACTCATCCTTCATATTCAAACCACTGCGGTGCAGTCGGTAATCGGTGGACATTTCAGGGAATTTACACCGTAGCAGCTGCGGTGAAATGACCGGACAGCTCTCGCGAAGTGCAAAGCATGCACGTGCGAAGATGAACCTGTATGGGGATTGGTTCAATTGCTGTGTGTGGGAATTGTTGTTTAATCCCAGCGAGTGTTTAAATCTAACACCTCGCTTCTTTAAATCTCCCCGGACTATGACCTACATAGTATCATACACACGGAGAGAACATCAGTCACTCGTAGATTCGGGTGCGCCACTAATTGTAGCGGGGATGCGTACGTCCGGGTCATTTGACATTGAGGAATTAGCCCAAGGCCCCAAATACATACAGATGAAAGCCGTCCATCTCGGAAAAAAAAGGGATGATGACAGTCCCGCGGACATCCAAGCCCGAGCAGGCGACACCCTGAATAGCGGAAAACGTGTGTGCAAAGCTTGTCCCAGAGGAGGTAGCCGTCTAGACCGTATTCGAGGGGTACGAGGCCGGATACATGTTCGCATCCAAGTTCATATGGATTAGCTACCAAGTAATCGCAATTGAGGCACCAGTTCGAACCGCGAAATACCCAGAGGTAACTCCTCGGTTCCTCAAGCTCGTTCTTCGCAAGATTATCAGCTTCAGGTTCGGCCAGAGCTCTGAGCCCATGCACCTCGATCCTCGTCCATTTAAAGGAATCATTGGAGATGTCAAGTCTAGAACCTTCTCCGAGTCCGATAAGCCTTATAGAGCACCTCTTCGACCTCCATAACGGCCAAGTCGTGCAGGAGAACCCCTTAGGCTAAATTCCGAAACGCTGGATCCGGGGATCTTTTTCCTGACAGGTTTCAACCGGATCCAGTATATATTGTCGACAAAATGGGTCCAGAGGTGGTACTATCAAGTACTCGTGTCATTGAATCCACGTTGAACTGGAGCTTTGATGCAGTCTTAGGTTGTACGAAAGAGTCCGTACTGAAGATTTGTGCGATCAAGGTCACAAACTGGCATGTTGAAAGAAAAAGAGAGCCAATGCCGACTTGCTCAGCCGTTCGCCGAGCGCAGCATAGCGAGATCACGTGTTGTAATGGTTCAATGTTCAAAATTAGACAGTGACAATGTCATTGTCAAAATTCATCCCCATCCGAAAGCGGGTATCTTCCGACAAAATTTTCACGCAGGTGAGCTCCTGAGTAAGCACTTGATGCATAAAACTTTTTTTTAGAAGCCTTTAGACGTGCTGCGGTTCGGCGAAAACTCATCTAAAATGCCTCACTCTCCTGAAATGCCGGCAGATCTGCCATTCAGGATGTAGCTTTGGTAAAACATTGTTCTCCATTTGAACTCGGGGCCGCACTTTACAATTTCGGATGCGGCTGGTAACGGGGACACACGGAAGTAAGCATAAGGTACACAAGAATCGCCGTTAGCAAGGCCAAATCGCGAAAAAACCCAAGGATACCGTCGGCAACGCGGAGCGGAAGTACGCCATTGATTCAAGATTCGTGGCGAACTTTTGAAGCACTTTTCTCAGACTTGTGCATAATTAAAGTATTGACCGGCAAGTATCGGCGTTAGAAATAGAAACGACTTTGATTCGGCAGCCCGATGGTCCGAGGATCAATTTTGCAGCGTCTGTTTCAATCCAAACGCGTAAATTTTGCCCGCACCCAGAGCACTGTGCCTCATGGCATGACATGATTGCCTGCGGCCCGGCATTTGTTTCTGGTGTAAACGAACGGGTCCGGGTGAGAAAGGATGGTTAGAATCTCCTTTGGCCACGGATGACTGCCGCCGCAGCTCGTTGAATGGAGAAAGGCATAGTCGAACTACCGCATTGCCGTTTCCTTAAAGCCAGTGTCTTCGTGGTGTGTTCCTCACCAACTATTTGTCGCCGCCCCAGAATCAACCATAATGCGTTCAATCAGTCTCACCTTCGTTCTCGCAGCTGTTTCGGCATCGAATACCTTGGCATTTTCTCCTTCCCAGTTCCCGTGGATGGCTCCGACGTCCACCGATGTCCGGTCGCCCTGCCCAGGACTCAACACGTACGCTGAATCTGCTTTTATTCATATTTTCTCGGCTGACCGTCCATTAGCCTTGCGAACCACGGGTTTCTTCCGCGCAACGGGAGAAATTATACTATCCCAATGATTTTGGACGCTGCACTCGGTAAGGAGACAGTGATATATATATACATGCAGATGAATTAATTATTATAAACGCACAGTGGGGTTCAATGTAGGATCTGACGCCATATTGGTGGCGGCGAAGCTCGGTTTGTTCTCAGGAGACAGCCCCACGACCATGGATTTGGACGCACTCGCCTTGTAAATCTTATCCCCTCACGGCTATGAAATCTCGTTGACCAGGGAAATACAGGCACAGCTTGATCGAGCACGACGCGTCCGTTTCACGCCAGGACTTCGCGATTGGGGATAACCTGCACTTCAACGAGACCATCTTCTCCACGCTCGTCAACTCCAATCCAGGTGTGGATTACTACAACGCCACCTCTGCGGGTCACGTCCAGGCCGCGAGGCTCGCCAACTCCTTGGCGATCAATCCAAACGTCACCAACACGCGCAAGGAGTTCTCCTTGCGCACTGCCGAGTCCGCTCTGCATCTCAGCGTATTCGGCAATCCCGCCACCGGTGTCGCCCCCAAGGAGTTTGTGTCCCAATTTCGCTTGATTTCGAACAAGGTCTGATACAGCTCAATGCCAGGTTCGTGCAGATCTTCTTCAGGGAGGAGCGGCTTCCCATTGAGGAGGGGTGGACACGCCCTACGACGACGATTACTCCCGAAACCATGTCCCCGATCGAGGCTATAATCATTGAGGTATCGAATTGGACCCAAACCCAAGAGTTCGAGGCCCTCGTCCTCGGTCCCGGCATCGTGCTCTAGGTGCGGATTATGCGCCACAAAATAGGCGTTCCATCTTTCCTGGTCGGTGATTGTGTCGAGAAAGTTACGGCTTATGTGTTATGTTAACGGAGGCTCGAATATGAATGTTCTGGCGTGCCCCAAAAATTACACGAATTCAAGTTGAGTTTATTCAACCGGTGGTTAATTCACATGTTCAACAGCAATGAGGTGCACCCACTGTTTTATTAGGTTACGCCGGCGTGTCCGGCTGATGTCGGATAAGCAGATCTGTGCATAGAATACGCTGTATTAATCAGGTGCCCCTGTAAAAGCATGAAAACGGATTGGCTAGCAGCGAACTGCAGAAGGGCATTTCAAACGACAACCACAACCCAGTAGGCTCGCGAATCCACGAGTGGGAAATTACACGCCATTTTCGAAAGGAGGGGATATCAATGTATGCATCAGTGAACGAATCAGGATAGTACCCCCCTAAAAACAATTGTCCCTTGTCGAAACATTCAGATACGAACCCATGCCTCGAATAGCGTCCCGATTTTTCTTACATTGAGAGGTCAAATTACTGTATAATTTCAATCAATTCGACCATCACACGTCACGCACCCCCTGGTCGGTGGTCGGTGTCGAATATTGGCGCCGGGTCACGCATCACGTCCCCGCTGGTCGAACCTAAGATCCGTCACGTAGCCCCAAAATGCCTAAATTTGCACCCGCAACATGAAAAATCCAAATTTTTCGTTTCATGGTCAAATTTTTTTAGGTCTGTCATGCAAAATTTCGGCCGTGGTCAATTGGTCGAATCGGTGATTTGGGTCACGCATCACGCCTCAGGTCGATTTTGATTGAAATGATACAGTACCACTACACAACATCTGACATCCTTCAGAGATCGATCAGTGGTTTAGAATAGGAATTCGAACTCCGCCGGACGTTGCCGGGTGTTCAATCAACCAAATGCAGGAGCGCGCATTTATTGTCAAAGGGAACGTATCGTTCAATTCATTCGGAACAAACGAATGTGTGAAAGTGCTTGCAACTTGTCTCTGGGATAATTTTACGCAGATTTTTGAGCTCCAACTCAGCCACGCAAAATAAAAATCCTTGTATTGCGGCGCAAAAATCCGACTTCACCGGATCGAACAGAGGACATCAAGATGACAAGTAACCATTTCAGTCTTGTGCTCTACCAACTGAACTAAAATTGGGAGATGGGCAGTTTATGGTTGAAAGGGTCGGGAGATCGGAGCGTGATCAATAAAGTTCAAGTCGTTGAAGTCCCTTTTTTTTGACTTCCGTATTCTTTACGCCTGCGGGCGAGACGCTGAGAAGAGATCAGACCTGTCGGACGTTGTTGCCCCGTCAATTGTAAGAACTGGCCTGCAGGGTCTGTTAAAAGAAAGCAGAATTTGCATGCGAATTTGAACTTGTGAAATTACACCTGATGTTGAGAATTGAGTATGATGAAAAGACCCCAACCGAGGCTTACTCCGGATTTATTTGGTTACTGAGATGGAGTAACCGGAAGGGCCTTTCGAGGTGATTGTAAAGCCGAAGCGGTCGAACTACGAAGCGATTGTGGAAACAGTGAGGAGAAAACTCACCTGAGTCTACTAATGCACGGAACAGATATTTCGATCAGCAGATCTCCACAGCGTTCTATGACATCGATATGGTTACATTAGCGAAGCGGTACTTGTACATTCACAGAGCATGTGTTCATAAATTCAAGTTGAACTTTTTCAACACTGTAAAGAATACGAGTAAGCCCTCAGTCGCACTCGTAGTGGTAAAGACTCCAATTATATTACCTGTAAAGAATACGAGTAAGCTACAGGGAATATGTAAGTGAATAAGTAGAATGTAAGTAAGAGAACACATACCCCTCAGTCACACTCGTAGTGGTAAAGACTGAGGGATATGAAACCGCCCACACCCTTAAATAGGGTGCGGTTACGATCGAGTCCCAATTAGTAAGACTGAAATAAGAAATAGGTAGGGAAACGCTGTACGCCAACTTCGTTTGTTAACAAACACATGTTTGCCATTCCTTTCCCACCCACCACATTTGGCAGGACCAACAGGTCTGGCGGGGATCAAAGAAACAGCTTAATTCAGTGCGTAAGAGCACAGAAAATGAGTTTCGCCGTGTTTGCCAGGCCATTAAATTCCTCTTGACATCGATGCATGCATAATATTGGAGCTTACAGCTGTTTGCATAATTAATGACAGTCACCAAATTTGGAAAGATAAGATCAATTCTGATCCGTCGGCTTTTGCCGCTCATTTCTCACCCAAATCCAAACAGATTTTCTCGGTTCTGGGCGCGTTCGACGCGCTTTTGAATGGTACTGGACTGCCTGTCTAATTCAAAAAAATCATGGAGGTGAAATTCGTCCCCATGTGTTTCAGATCACCACTTCTTGCGCCCCGTTCTCAGTCAATTCTGGACAGAATTTGCTGATCCTGGGTCCATTTTGAAGAGGATTTTCAGGCAACCACATCAATCCCAGAGGATTTTGAAATTTTCGTCTCACGTTCCTTTAAGTGGGTGTTCACGACTTTATTTGATGCATGAATCACTGCAAGCCCATTTTGAGATGAAACCATTTTTTCTCACAACGGAAATGTTTGCCTTCAGATATTCATTCCGGTACACTTTATCTCATTCAGATTGGATAAGATTTGACCGAGATGCAGAGGATTAATGTTTGGATTAGAATGACCTGACCCGGATTTTGACACACCCCAATTTTTGCAATCGGCTGGAGAATAGGGTATGGGTTGGAAGCTCTCACCAACCCCCTTCAAATGTGTCCACAATCAAGTGATTCTGCCTGGGAATGGGCAAGATATGAGGCCAGAAAAATGGAGACTCAAAGTGCTTCTTTATTTCAAATTTCAACACACTGTCATCAATTATGCAAAGAACTGTAAGCCCGCACTTACATAGTCTTCCGACCTCGGTAACTCGAGCTCTTCTTTGGACCTTCTCGCGTTTCGAGCGTTGATATAGGCGTTGATTGATTGGTTCGGAGTTAAAATCGGGCCGGAACTCCGAAGTCACGGAAGCCAAATATGACCACACAGTTCCTTCCGCCTTCCACCTTCGGGCCTCACGTCTATTCTGGATGTGCGCAAGCGCTACCGGTTCGCAGATTCAATGGCCACTTTCCACGAAACCCACGATCCCGCCCACTAGGATCACGTGCTGAGATGACCGGAGACGCAAGAATACGGAACCGCCAAGGAACCGCCGACTACGCCGACTTTTGGCCGACTTTCATTCAGCGCAAATGGAAGCCCGCTGGGATATTTTAGCCTCCGCGGGCTGTCTGGAGCACTGTTCGACCTGTTTTTAGATGAGATTTCGCCCATGCACTGCGTCCAAAAGGTCCCTAGACCGGCCGACGTCTAGCGGGCCGCGGCTAGGCGCCTTCTATATCTAGGTGTTTATATTTGCTTAGACTCACGCGAGTCTGCTTGGATAGCCACATGCCCAGATGTCCGTTGAGGCACCTAGGCGTGGCACATCCCTGGATGAGCTCATTCTACTTTATGTCTATAAGTGCTAGGTCGTGGCTAGGTATGGCTAGGTCCCTAGCCATGCCTCGTCATATGTGTGGCTAGTCGCCTAGCCGCGGCTCGCCACCGATTGTGGCTCGACATAGGGGACCCTTGAAAGCAGTGAAGTAACACCGCACATCGAAACACCAAGGTATGTATAAAAAGAGAGCGGGCAGTGAATGTTCGGTACAAGTCATGATGATCACTATTCCCACTCTCCTGGCCTTCATCTTCTCGGCCACTTGGCTAGTCGCTGCACAGACGAACGGGGTTGGAGAGATCCAGACCGGCGCCCTTAGCTGTATGTCTTTCTCCCCTCAGTCCAAGCAATTATTAAACTGATCACGATGTATTGCTTGCTAGTTAGCAACGCAGGGCTCCAGGGCTGCGTCAGCGCGCAGAGCAACGAGGATGGTGCACCCGTCGTCATCCACAACTGCAACACGGAGGACACCGCCAACCAGAACTGGGCCCTCTCGTTCTTTGACAGGGAGAATGCGGGTCCGGAGCCAATCACGATCTTCGGCGACAAGGTGCGTGCCCCGCCGCTTTTCACTGCATCTGCTGAATGTGGTTGGATAGTGCATAGACGTGACGGGCGGCGTCAACGCCGACGGCACGAAGGTGCAGATCTGGACCTGCGTCGAGGGGAGCACGAACCAGCAGTGGATCTCTGTCATAAACGGGACTCTGCAGTGGGCGGGCACGAATAAGTGCCTCGACCTCACTGGCGGGAGCATCACAGACGGCACGCAACTCCAGATCTGGACCTGCGCCACGGGGAATGACAACCAGCGCTGGAGGGGTGCGAACAACCCCGATGCCGTGATGTGAGTTCTTCCTTGGACTCTTTGTCTCTGTCTCCCGAGACTCAATCCGTCATCAGCACCGCCCAAATAAGCCTTACCGGTGCGTCAATTCCTTCCCGCGCGCTTGTGAAATCCTGACTCCATTCGCGCCCTAGTGTCTCGCCCCGCCGCCTGCATTTCCGCCTCTGCTGATGAGGACGGCGCGTCTGTCGTCATCGTCCCCTGCCTCAACTCAACCCCCGGCTCAGCCTTCCCCAACAACATCACCTTCACCGTCCCCGTCTCGCCGCTCAGTGGCCCCATCACGACGTTCAACAACAAGTGCCTCGATGTCCCCAACGGCAGCCGGGAGAACGGCGTCAAGCTCCAGATCTGGACTTGCTTCGAGGGCAACACGAACCAGCTGTTCTACAACAACGATTTCATCCAGCTTCAGTGGACTGGGACGAGCAAGTGTCTTGATTTGACGGGTGGGAATACGACGACTGGCACCCCTGTGAGTGGTTGATTTCTTTTGGCGGGAGCCAACGTTCTGATTTTTCTTCTGTGTCGTTTGATCAGCTCCAACTCTGGGACTGCTCCAACCAATACGACGACTTCAACCCCAACCAAGACTGGTGGATCACCGATCTCAACGCTCCCACGCGTCGTTAAACGGCCACCGAACCAACCGAATGAATGAACGAACACGTACCGATCGGACATGGTCATCTTAATATTAGCTATGTAACAGCTTATATAATCACTACTCGTTTACCTTGCATCCGCGCTTTTGGTTCTATTGGTGGCTTGGTGTCCGCAAGAGATTGGGAGGAGATATTTCTCGAATTCTCTGACGACCTGTACGTTTGCGGTTCGTTCGTCGGATAATTGTCAAATAGTAATATTGAGACACTGAACAGAATTCCTCTGCCCATGAATTTGACTTGTGATCATCCAGATTTCGTATGGATCCGGCATTCCAATTCTCGGTTATATCCGAGTCCGAACCTGCGCAAGAAGAGATCTCGACCGAGGTTTTGGGCTGATCGCATATTCCGACCCCGAAAAAAAGGTAGGAACCCTAACGGGCCCGGACCCGGACCAGATCGGACCCCCGACCTCGGCATAGAGACACTTGCAACAAGCTCCTACAGTCGCGCTCGTATATAGAAAACTAGGCGGCCAACGGATATTCAGACTTCTGTGTGAGCTTTTTTCTACAGTTACTACGGCGTGAAACTGACTATTATCACCTATATAGGTAGTATTAGTTAGGTATACTCGGGTGCGGTCCCATTAAAACACAGCCGAGACACCACATACATAGCGTTCCTTGGGCGCTGTGATCCGGGTAAACCCCTGGTAAGCGGAGAGCTGCCAAGACTCAACAGGCGTGGCGAGAATCTGGCTAGGTCTATACATTTCTCGGGTCGGCCCCATGTGCTCATAGACACTGGACACTCGGTTTCGACTGGGCAGGAAACGGGTCGACATGAGATCTCGGTCATTCCAGACCGCGCATCGGAAACACAACAAGCCTACGGTCGCGTATAAAATAGAGCGGCCAACGAACTGGTATTCCCTAAAACACAATCATGATCCTTTCTACCCTCCTCGCTCTCGCAGCCTTCGTTCTCTCAGCCATTGCAGCCTCAGAGCCTATAGGCTCAGAGATTCAGAGCGGAAATAAAGCATGTATGGCTTTTATTTCTCTGCTGGGTGGGAGTCCGTGAAACTGACCGTGAGTGGCACTTAGTCGACAACGCGGAAATCCAAGGCTGTATCAGCACGCCCGAGAATGAAGATGGTGTACCCCTCGTCATTCACAACCGCAACATGGAAGCCTCCGC